GAGAGAGAGAGAGAGAGAGAGAGAGAGAGAGAGAGAGAGAGAGAGACAGAGAGACAGAGAGAGAGCGCACGTGCCTGAGGTTAGAGGTCCCCCATAGAGCTACCTGGGGTGGGTGCTAGGAAAGAAGAACTTGGTTCTTGTGCAAAAACAGTGAGTCATCTCTCTAGCACTACCTGTAACTCATAAGAAGTTATTTATTAATATCATTTCAAAAACAGCCCACATAAGACTATGTAGATGGCTTAACAGGTAGAGGTACTTGCCACCAAGCCTTGCCACGTTGAAGAGAGAAAACTGACTCATATAGTTTTCTTCTTCTTTTCTCCACATAACATGGCATAGTACATAAGCACCCACATATACAAATAAGCAAGGAGAAAAAGGACTAACTAGGAATTAGTGTATAGTGTTGACTGAGCATGAATAAGGTCCTGGAAACAATCCTCAGCCCTGAGAAAAGGGGAGAGGGAGCCTGAGGTAGAGCATGGGTTTACTTGGAACTACTGAGGAAAAGATGGGATGGATTCAGAACTGATGACTGTTAGGAGATGAATTAAAAGAATCTGTTAAAACATCTTGATTCTGAATTAATTTTTTTTATTATGTATACAGTGTTCTGCCGACATGAATGCCTGCAGGCCAGAAGAGGGCACCAGATCGCTGTGAGCCACCAAGTGTGTGCTGTGAATTGAACTCAGAACCTATGGAAGGGCAACCAGTGGTCTTAACCTCTAAGCCAATTCTCCAGCCTGGTTCTGAATTAATTTTAAGCTTGCAGAGCTTAAGGAATTTCAAATTTACATTATTCTTTACTTATAGACCTCATATTTTTACACATTACCCTATATATACTTTAATATATTGTCTCTACACACACACACACACACACACACACACACACACACACACTTACTTATTGGAGTTTACGTGAAATTGTTCACATAATGTCTCCACATCCCCATAGTACGGAATACAGAAGTATTCCTAAGAATGTTCTTTTACATATCAAAACACAATTCTCAGAAATAAAAAAAATTAACATTGATTCTATGTCATTAACTTTATCAACACAACTTTCACAAGTACTTGTCACTTATCTAAATGCATGTCGTTTGTATCTATGTAGTACAGTTTAATCCACAATTAAAAATATTACATTCAAGGATACTAATGACATGACAATAAAACTCAATATTTTTATTTGTTAATCATTTATTAATGGGAAGTTTCCTTTCCTTTTGAAAAATTCTGATAACCAGATAGTGGTGTTGCATACTTTTAATCTTAACACTAGGGAGGCAGAGGCAGGTGGATGTCTGAATTTGAGGCCAGTCTGGTCTACAGAGTAAGTTAGTTCCAGGACAGCCAGTGCTACACATCAAAACCCCATCTTGAAAACTAAACAAATAAATCAAAAGGAAAAAATATTTCTGAGAGCACAGTAAGAAAAGTAGAAAATCAACCCTGCTTCTAATTCTCCTGCCCAGAGAGAAATATTAATGGATTATGTTAAAACAACTTAGGCTGACTTTTAAATTCAAAGATCTTCCTACCTCTACTTCCAAACTTCTGGAATTAAAGCCCTGTGCTACCACTCTTAGCCTATGTGAAATACTGAATACTCCAGGAAATAATGAAAAGCACTGTTATTTATCCGAGTTATTACTTACTGATTTCATAAGGGTTGATGGTCAGCTTTTTGTGTGGTCTCTTCAGCTGCTTGAGAATACCAGCAACAGCTGAGATGGCCATCTACAAACAGTTAATACACTTATATCAACATTGTGAAATCTCTTACAACATGCTGCACTGCCACAGAAACTGATTCTACTTCTTTCAAAAATACTTCCTCCCAAAAGAAGCCCGTATTCTTTCTTGGTAGGAGTGTAAACTCATACAGACTCTATGGAAATCAGTGTAGCAGTTTCTCAAAGACTGAAAAATAGAACTCTCATCTGACCCCACTCCTAGGACTTCCAAAGAACTCTACATTCTACCTCAGAGATACCTGTACAACTCTGATAGTTAATGAAAATGTATACCTTTCGAACAACGATTGCATCATGGTTGAGATTTTCAACAAAAAAACGTATGGCACGAAGCGGCAACACTCTGTCGTCTCTTAGGAGTAGAGACAGAAGCCCAATGCCTATATGCTCAAATTTCCATGGCCTGTAGGTTGAGATAGGGAGGTGGGTAGTGAGAGAGTTCATACAAATCACAGTACCCTTAAAAACCATTTACAATAAGAATCTGTTTTGGAACTTTTTCTTTGCTTTGTAGCCTCAGCCTCCTGAAAGCAGGGATCACAGGTATGTGAGCCCCTGCTAAGCTCTGTATTTGAAACATAATTTTTAAGTTTTTTAAGAATAAAAACAGGCCTACAGAAGAACACTGACACTATCAATACCCTAAACCTCTCCATGTCCCCCACTTAGTCTTCTAACATAAAAAAATACTCCATTAACACAATCATTCCTTTTTGCATGAAAAAAATGATCTCTAGAGCAGTTATGACAAATATTTCCATGGTTTAAAAAGCAAAACAAAACATTTTTTAAGGGGAAAAAAAAAACCTTTATACTCACAAATTTCTTTGCTCCACACCATCTAGTAAAGTATTTACCAAACTTTCATAGTTCCTTTTAAAAAATTCAGATAAGATATGAGTTTATTATATTACTAAGGCAAACATTAAATAATGTAATACTTCATTTGACCAGACTAAAAGTGAGAAGAGGAGATATAATGAACTACCTTAAACTCCTGATGTCCCGTCTCAGTGCAAAAAGGACTAGTATTATAAGCATGCCAAGCAAACCTTTCCTGAGTGTTCCAAAGTAAACATTAAAACTATTAAGTAACAACCAGAGTGAGCAATGCTCTGTCTGTATGGTATATTGGCTATCTGCAATCAAATAAGCAGGCTATGGGAGACCAGTATTCACAAAAACATTTCTGAAAACAAATTTGAGGGTTGTAGTTGGCATCCATATTCATAACATTTGGGATACTGAGGCAGGAAGAGCTCGTAAGCCCAGGAGTTTAAGACTGTGCAATATTTTGATTTAAAAAAAAAAAAAAAAGGCATTCTCAAAAACAGTTAAGTAGATGTTCTATGGTAAATCTAAAACTGAGTTAGGAAGGCTACTGGGGAAGTTTTATCACTTCTTTTTATCTAAATCATGAATTTTTCTGGTCCCCCAAATAAAAAACCAGTTTACTAATACCCTAATACCAAGTTTAATCAAAACTATTTCTGTAAGACCTATAAAGTAATGTACTAAACTTGAATTTAGGACTTAATTACACAGTACACCTATTGTACTATGTCTAATACATTGGTACCTAAACACAATCAAAGGCAATTCATAACTTTTATGTCTAGCATGCTTTCATTTTTAAAATTCCAAACTGAAAAGGGTAAACTTGTTTTTCTTCAACAATCACCTCCCAACTGTTTTGGATTTTCTCAGAAATCAATGTACAGTGGTAAGTTACATTTATATTTTATAACTGATCAAAAATGTATTAATTGCAATATTTTCTGTCTTAGCAGAAAGTTCATCAATTACCTTAGGGCATCGGCATTCTTTTCCTGCTGGCGCTTCTGTCCTTCTTTAATTTTTTCCGGGCTAAGTAGCGTCTGATTAATAGAAGGATTCTTTGATTGTTCAAGTAATTCTGCTATTGCAGCACATGGCTTTGGAATCTTATTAAAAAGAAAAAGAAAAAAAAAAAAAAACAAAAACAAAAAACAACAAACATAAAAAAAGTAGAGTCATGACACTATAATGTGGACTATTTAATTAAAAGAAAAAAGGGCAATTACTACCAAGCCTGATGGCCTGAGTCCAAGTCTTAGAACTCTATCTATATGGGTATGGAGAGAACTGATTCCTATAATTTGTCACCAGATCTCTACATGTGCACTGGTGAGTGCAAACACACACTCTTATACATCTATAAAAAAAAAAAATGTAATGACTATGCTTTCAGGCCAGGGACTGAATTCAGGTGATCAGGTTTGGTGACAAACACATTTCCCATTGGGCCATTTTGCTGGACCAGTAGTTTGGTAATTTCATCTTGAGTTACTATGACTATTAGTTTTTAAACAATAATCTACCTGGGTATGGTAGTGCATGCCTGTAATCAGAGCACTCAGGAGATGAAAGCAGGAGGATCAAGAATTCAAGGCCAGCCTGGACTACAGAACACCAATTATACGTAGTTGGGGGTGGGGGGAACCAACTCTAATATAAGGACAGTTTCAAAGAGCAAGAGGTGCATTTATAGCCATAGTTATAATCCTGGTCATTAGGATGCAAATCATAACCAATTCCAGGAAAGAAGGAACTCAACTATCTTCACCTTTCTGTCCATCATGTTGCACTATGGAAGTAAGGATGTATACGTTCTACCTTCTCAGATGGTCAAAAAAAGGTGACTCATGCATGTAATCCCAGCATGTGGGAGGCTAAAGCAGGAGGATTGCTACAAGTTTGAGAGTAGCATGGACTACAGAGTGAGTCACTACTCACATTAAATGATGCCTTATATCTATTCGAGAACCAGTAAAATTTCCTTCTCATTCATAAAAAATCTAGTTTTAATATTCTGCACGAGATCTCTATAAGTTATGAATCTAGCTAGTGGCAAATCTTTAAAACACCCATCATGACTGGGCATGGCAGGTCATGACTGCAATCCCGGCACTCAAGAAGCAGGAGTGTTGTGTGATATTTTGAATTCACTCTGACATACCCAAGACTTCCAATAAAGTTTACATTGAATCAAGTGTGGAACTAGCTGTTAGCTGACCAAAATTAGCCATACAGGTTTTGGAGTAATGAGGACATATAGAGAGATACAGGAAGTAGTAGGAAAGAGGTTTAGAAAGATTCTTGGCCTTTTAGGATTGATGAAAGAGAGAAGAGATCAATGGTCACTTCTCCACTGCTTCTCTAGTGGAGAATAGTTTGTTACCCCGATATCTGATGAAGATAAATTCACAGGGAGTTCGAGACTTGTCTGCTCTACAAAGCAGGTACCAGGCCAGCCAGAGAGGGAAAAAAAGAGAAGGGAAAGTGAGGGGAGGTAAGGTAGGGAAATGCAATGGAGGCATACATTGATCAATGGGAAATACAGCAAGGGTAACTACTGTAGCTTCTTGGTAGAAATGACTTGACTCTTTTCCATATCACTCCAATTTGGTGTTCCAACCCTGTTGTTTACAATAATCATCACTAAAAAGCGTTAAATGAAAAAAGAAAGTTAATGCTTTTTAAAAACTTATAAACATGCCAAAATATTAGTACAGAAAAAAGGGAAAGACATGGAAAATAAAATACAAGCCAGAATTTCCAGTAAAATATGCATGAACAAATAAATGGTTTGCTTACTGTGAAGTCCAAGCCAATTGTTTCATATTGTCTATGAATCTTTTCTGCAAGGTCATCAAATAGTCTCACTATTGACGGCTTTTCCAGTGACATTGCTTGGCTAAGCCCTGAAGAAACAAGTGCTGGCCAAGTCTGCACAATACAGTCCCAATCATGAAGGTTTGCCAGACACACACCACTATGATTTCCAAGTAGACAATATAAGGCTCCCTATGAGAACAATTTACATGGAAAAGTAAGAGGAATGGTTGAGTCCAACATGTGTTTCAATTTTTACATTGATTATTTACATACAGTTGATCTACAAATAGTTCATATACTTAATGTATTGCTTTTAAAAACCTGAACTTGAAATTTAACCAAGTAGCATTCATTATGTTTTTTCTAAGTCATTTGATGGAGGATTTGCTAAAGAATGGCTACTTGGCAATATAAAAAGGTAAGAATGTTTGTTGGAACACAGATTCTACTCTTATTTTCCTCAAGTATAATAATGGTCTTGAAATGAACTAAGGAGTACTTGTAGGGCCTAAAGTTTGAAATAATTTATCAAATAACAGCTAACACTAAGTTGCTAAATGTGTTACCAAACATGTGAAAGCTCAGTTACTCAGAATAGGTGGAAGGAGGGGCTGGAGGATGGATATGATGACATACATTAAACACTACTTATTTATACTACATATTTTTTCAACTGACAAAATCTCTAATCAGGTGGTTCTGATGAAGCAGATACATTTTCTATTAGTATCAAAAAGTGTTGCTAATTACAGAACACTCAATTTTAGATTTGGATCCGAAGTTGGATTGTTACCCATTGCATAATCTAATCCCCTCTAGAGGCTCTATGTATGGTCACTGCTAATTTTGACCCCTCTAATGCTGTCCATATAAAACATTTCTAACAAAATTGACCAATATATGATCTAATAAGGGAGACCTTCCAGAAAGAACATCCAGCACTGGGGTAAGAAGTCAGCCACCAGAAAGAAAAGAAAAAAGGAAATGGTAGGTCACTTGGTATCAATCCCAAGCACTAATCTCCAACACTGTGACATGAAGATGAACAAACTATATAAAAGAATACTTGTTCTAATAAAACTTTAAAAGTAACTAAGCCTGGCCTATTGAGCTGTGTCTTACAAATTAACTTCAATCGAAGGAACATGTTTAGTGCTCATCTTACTCCTCTCCAGAAAGTGGGCATTAGTGTCTTCTTCCTGAAAGGTCTGTTTATTGCCTTCCATGACTATTCCTCTCTTGTCAGGGTATCACAGTAAGTTTTGCTGTTTGGCCTCTAATTTTTCATTTTGTTTTCAGATGGGATTTCACCATGTTGCTCAGGCTTGCCTTAAACTCTTGGGTTCAAGGGATCTCCTACCTGCCCTATAACTACTTACACAATCAAGAACTCAGTGATGCAAACTCCCATGTTTTAGTGCCCTCATGTTTAGCCACCAACCCCTAACTCTTTTCTATCCTTAATATCTCTCAATAAACTTACAAAGACTATACTTTACCTGTAAAATATCTTGTCTTCTTCCTTTTTCTGCTCTCAGTTGCTCAAAATGACTTTTTATTTCTTCCTGTCCCTGGTCCTCCCTTCACTGGTTATACTACTCAGCTATTTTCTACAGGGTCTGCACCCTGTATGTCTCCATACCATTAATCAGGACAAAATGTCCTAGTAACTTAAGCTTACATGCATTTTAAGAATTCAATAAAGCAAATATAACAAAATATTAAATGCAGAACCTGAATATCACATATATGGGTATTTACTGTAGGCATTAAAACAGAACCTATACCTTGAACTGCTGCTGTGTGACATCCTGTCTATCAGGTCGTAAAAACTCCAAAACCAAAGGGATGATATCTCTGCAACAGAAATTATATGCTCCCAATGCAGCAAAAAATGTTTGCTGAGCCTTGTTTCTGACCTGGGAAAAATTCACAAAGATTTAAAATGATGTCTAATGAAGCATAAAAAATAAAGGATGATACCCTAAAAAGTAAGCAAATGATTATTAAAAGGAAAATAATATCATGTGCCTCTCTTTGATGAAAAGAAGTTGAATGGCACTCATGGGCTACAGTTAATAACACTGCTGAAAGCAAACAGCAGACACTCTTAAGTCACTGTTGATGAGAAGATAAGGTTTCCTTATGTCCATACACAGGAAATTACCAAGATAGAAGGAACTAGTATACAGAAATCTTGTAATTTCTCTGTTCTATGTGCTAGGATGTAATCTTTTGGTCCTATACTATTATTAAGAGATAGACTACATGTTAGTAACTCTCTGAAACCCAAGCATCACATACAGCCATCCTAGGTTAGTCTTCAAAATTCCATAGAATTACATTGGAGAATCATTCTACCAGCATAATCTCTAAAATTTACAACAGAGAAATAATTTAAGAAGGACGTGGCGGTCCCTATGCCTCCACCCAGCACTTTGAAGGTGGAGGCAGGTGAACTGAAGTTCAAGACCAGTCTGGCTAAATAGCAAGGCCATGTTGAAGAAAGGCTCAGGGCTCTTAAAAGAGAAGCAATTAACCAGGCATGGTAGCAGACCCCTTTAATCCCAGCAAAGGGAGGATCTCTTGAGTTGAAGGCCAGCCTGATCTACAAAATGAGCTTCAGGACAGTCAGGGCTACAGAGAAAGCCTGTCTTGGAAAAGAGAGATGGGGGGGGGATTGCAATTATACTACCAACAAATGTTTTCCAATGCACATTGTGGCAAATTTGAGTATATTTGAAATTTGAAAGCTATTTCCAATGGCACTGGGGTGGGGTGGGGCTAGGGCAGGTCACTAAATTTTAGATCTGGTTCTCTTGCTTTCTGGATTTGGGGTCCTACATGAGGGAAACTGGGAAAACTAGGATATTTAGATTTCATGTAAGAAAATGATAGTATTGGAGAGAGTAGTCTCACCTGACTGTACGAACTTGTAGACAATCGAAGAAGATCTCTGATCATATCTTGATGTATTCTTTTATACTCACAACCCTCAACAGTTAGTGTTCGCAACTTTAAAAAGAAACAATATAAATCAAGTCTTGAAGTGTTTACTGAAAGTCCACTTAATTATGAAAAGCACCACAGTCATTATTCATTAGCATGTCAAGAGGTAATAATCTAGACACTTGCCTCATGCTGCAGCATCACTCTATCAATTAGCAGTGCTCTGATATGTTGCTTTTTTCCATGGAGCTGGAAAACAAAATAGATAATATCTCAATGTTTTCACTAAGTGACTTCAACAGTGAGTTCCTGAATCCCCTAATGAAAACTTACCTCAAAATAAGGACACAGCCAGGTACGGCAGTGCATACTTTTAACCTTAGAGGTAGGTAGATCTCTGAGTTCTAGGCCACTCAGGGCTACATAGATTGACCAAATCTCAAAACAAAACAAACCAGCCAACTAACCAAACATACAAATAATAAACCCAGTAACAACTACAACAACAAAAATGTCAATCCAAACCTAAACCAGGAAAATGGACATAGGGCAGAAAAAATGGATGAGGAACATATGCAACTGTCACACATGTCTTACAACCTAGGTTCAACTCTTGGGACCTACATGTTCGAAAGAAAGAGCTGACTTTTCTAAGTTGTTTTTTGAGCTTCGATTTCACAGATACATGCTCCCCCCACACAAACAGATATAACAAAAAATTACCTTTGTTACAAATGATTATTTTTTATTACATTAGTAAAAAGCTCCAATTTTACCTTTTGTCTAAACCTTCCAATCTGTATCTTAAAAGCTCCTATTCAGACTCTCTTCACCTAGATTCTAACTGTATCAGAACATTTTAATATTCCTTTATACTAATTTTCAATCAGGTGTGGTGGCTCATGCTTAAAATACATATTCCTTTAGTGGATCTCCACTTCTGAATATAAATCCACAGAACTTTCTTACAACAAAACCATTGACCTTTACATTCTAGCACTCTTCTACAGCCTGCCATAATTCCCATTTCTTTTTCACATACTCTTCTATCTCCAGTATCTAGCACAAGTAACATACAGGCACCTAATATTTTATTATTACATAGTAAGAATCTTATGGCAAAAAAAAAAAAAGAAGAAGAAGAACATTGGTTTTATGGAATATTCTTTTTTGTTTGTTTTTGTGTTTGGTTTTTCCGAGACAGGGTTTTTCTGTGTAGCTTTGTAGACCAGGATGGTCTACAGAGATCCACCTGCCTCTGCTTCCCAAAGGCTGGGATTAAAGGCGTGCACCACCAACACCTGTCTCGTGCAATATTCTTAAACTATTACTTTTACTTATAGGGCAAATTTCCTCTAAAACAATAATCCTCAAATTAGGACTACTATACATCTTTTCAAAAACAATAATTCAGAATTTCAGGTGGAAATACTGACCCGATTTTCCATTGATTTCTTTACTAAGTTAAAGCTTTTCCATCGGGAGTCAAATTCATGTTTATGAGATCCTTGGAATTGCAGAAGGTCTCCAATAATCTGTGTCAAAGAATTTCAACATTTATTCAGAAGTCACCAGTCAATCCCAAAACATTAACAATTATGGAGTCACTTCTACCTTTATGATGAGAAACAATGATTTGGTATCATCTTCTGAATTATCAAGTATGTGGTCTAAAATAGGAGGAGACAAAATTTTTAGCCAACATTTTAAATATTATAAACCCCAAACTGCTTCTTAAAGAGATTAAAAAAAAAAAAAAAGTGGATATTCTCCCTATTTCTAAAAAATGTTAAGCTGGGCGTTGGTGGCGCACGCCTTTAATCCCATCACTCGGGAGGCAGAGGCAGGAGAATCTCTGTGAGTTCAAGGCCAGCCTGGTCTACAAAAGCTAGTTCCAGGACAGCCTCCAAAGCCACAGAGGAATACAGGCAAGTTACAGGCATGTATACTTACTAAGAAGTTTCCGTATGACTCTAGCAATTGCTTCTCGGTGGTTCTCTCGGGATGGGTCTATTTAAAAAATAAATAAGAGAAGGTATTTTAGATATGAAAAGTTGCTCATTTTATTCCAGTTTTTAACGATGGCTTACCCTAAGATCCTTCTTAAAAGGTAAAGGGGGAGGGGGAGACAAATGACTTTGACTTAACATAGTTAAATTAGTGGCTGTGTAGGACACAGACTAACACTCAAAATCACATTTAAGGATCTAGGTTAAGCATTGAGGCACACTTTTTTTTTTTTTTCTTTTTCTTTTTTGGTTTTTCCACACAGGGTTTCTCTGTGTAGCTTTGGAGCCTATTCTGGCACTCACTCTGGAGACCAGGCTGGCCTCGAACTCACAGAGATCTGCCTGCCTTTGGCTCCCAAGTGCTGGGATTAAAGATGTGTGCCACCAATGCCTGGCTAAACCTTTAACTTTAACACCTCAGAGAGTTAAGATGGGTGGGGTATGGCAAAGGGTTTAATGCTAGGCAGGTCTACAAAGCATGACTGTCTCTAATCACTGTATAAATGAAAACATAAACATTTGTACACATTTGTAATTCTAGCATTTGGGAAGAAGAGGCAAAAAGATAAGGATCTAAAGGCAACATGGTGCCACATGAGATTGGTCTCAAACAACCAAAATAAAATGATTATTTATAAAATCTGTTGTCAAGAAAGATAGATAGATGAGGGGTTAAAATCACTTGCTGCTCTTACAGAGGATGTGAGTTCAGTTCTCAGTACCCACATGGCATCTCATAATCAGCTGTAACTCCATTTCCAGGGGATTTTGAGACCTTCTCACCTCCATGGGAATGTGGCAAACATATATACAGAAAACACTTACACACATAAAATAAAAAAATATATAATTTTATGAAGTGGGGGAGGGGAAAGAGAAAACACTGCTGTGAACATTTTAAAGTCCCTAGCTACAAATTAGAAACCACAAAGACTTGAGACTCTTTAAAGTTACAGATGACCCAAATTCAGCAATTGACCTTAGAAATTAATGTATAGAATTAATTCTCTTATTATCCCTGACTGAGAAAATTTACTGAGTTTCTATTAAGGTTGAAGACTGAAGTTAACATTAGTATAATAATATATAGTATGTGTGTATGTGTGTGGGGGGGTGGGGGGGTGTTGCTAGGAATTGACCCTGAC